TTAAGTTCAAAACACCAGAAATGTTAAGGAAACAAATAAATCGATTCTTCTTATGTGCCTTGTCCCCCACCCCTAAAACTTAAGTGATCATGGTTCTCCACAATTTCCTGTACTTGGTAAATCAATAATTAGTTTTTTTGTTATTTCTCCTAAACCCTGTTCCGCTATCTATTTCATTAGGAATGTCTACTTTGCCTACACGAAAAAGTAGCAATAATATCCCATACACCGAAAAAGAATTTACTAAACAAAAGATCAGAGATAATCTCCAAATGTGGGCATGAGAATAAGTACCTATTATCCGAATTTATACCGAACAGATAAAAAAAAACACCGACAAACACTCTTTAGTTCAAGCTGCCATCACAATAATTACATTTATTTATCATTCCACCACCATTACTAATAACTTCTACCACTTTACAATAACTATTAGCTACTAATATTATTATTACCACCAATCCCCCAACACCATTACTACCACATCACATCTACTATTATCATATAAACCCGCTATAATCATTAACGGAAACTACTCATCTGTCCCCCAGGATATTTAATACCACCATAAAAATAACCAATAAGGATTACAAACTGCAATTTCTACCAGTTACATATACGCAGTCATCAAAAACAAGCAAATAACCAGCTTTAAAATAATAACAAATCAGCCTTAAAAAAATTTTAGTCATCATAATTGTTATACCAGATCATTACCTATTCTATTGTAATAGACTCTCCCACAGATAATAAGTAGTAGTAGCAGTGGCCATTTGAGCTCAGTGGAGTTGATTGAGTCAGTCGATGTCGAACATTGAAGTATCAACCATCACAACTAGATTGCTGCGTCATTATCTCTTATTTCAAGTTCCTAACGTTTTGTACGTCGGACCCTTTTAGGACCGACTTAGCGAAATACAAGCCTCCACTGTGAAAACTACTCTACAACAATAATTTTACACAGATCCTCACCACACGTATATACGTGCGTGCGAGGAAATATTATTCAGCGAAAAAATAAAAAAATGCTCTGATTGCTGATATGTATACATTCACGAGACATTCACGAGAAATTTACGCTACACTTCCGATCTTTGAATTTCAACATACAAATGCGTATGTATATAGACAAGAGCACACATATACATACATATGTCAAATCCCATACTGTCCACATATGTTTATGTCTGTATGAGCCCCGGTGGACGAACGAGTGTGTATGTGTGTCTGCGTACCTCATCAGGTGTACGGACATGCATCTATGTTTGCGTTAGCATGAGTGACATCAAGACGACGATTCCCCCACCCCACTTCCATAATAACGCCAATACACGCAATCTACATAAATCCCAAAAGATTTTTTTTTTAAATTAAGCAGTTTGTCTGACGATCGCAAAAGCGTGAAACCGAGGGTCACAAACTCACATCAATCCAACTAAATATGTTGCTCTATCTCTGATATTGAGCGCTTTCTAATAAGTACTGCGCATATAATATATAAGTAATAATATATATATATATTACATATATATATAAATACATATAAATATAGATAACTAGACTCGTTTCGAAAAACCCTCGAATTTTTGATTTGCCAATAATCAAATCAATCTCGAGGGAAAAAAAGGTTTTAAAAAAAGAAAGCGCTACAAACATGAACTTCTGCCGACAAAAAAATCGCACAGATGCAGGTCTGAAGCCCAAAGAAAAAAACCCGATACGAGTAACAACTAACAAAAGAGCTCAATACAACCGTAGAGCAGACCTAGATACACCTAGTGAGCCAGAAAAATCTACCTAGGTTTCACCTAAACGGATCGTCAGGGAAGGTTTGGCTAGGTGTATCTATATATATATATATATATATATATATATATATATATATATAGGGCACTGTTGAAGATGCACGCAGGAGGGGACGCCAATATAAAAACTGGACGGTTATAATTTATACCAGAATTGCTGATGGCTGCCGTTGATAGACCGTTATGGAAAAGACTTAATGTGGCTTCTACATGCAGATCCGCTCTACGATTACAAAAGTCAAAGGGATGATTGTATATATATATATATATATATATATATATATATATATATATATATATATATAATAATAGGAATTTAGGAAACTATACTCGCTCGGAAAACCTTCAGTGTTTTGATTTGCAAATAATCAAACCAGTACCAAAGGGGAAAAAAGTATAAAAAAAGAAAGAACAAAGAACATGTACGTCAGCCGAAAATGATCGTCAAGCATCCAAGTCCTAAGTACAAAGAAAAAAAAAACACGATACAAGTAAGCAAAATAACTAAATAAAGTGCTCACTACGTTAAGTAGAGCAGACCTAGTTAAACCTAAAGAGCCAGGCAAACCTACCAAGGTAAAAATAGAATACGTGGATTTACCACATCACAAGAAAAGTACAAATAAAATTCTCACTTAAAATTTTGAAAAACTTAGCGTTGCGTCTTTGCACGTTCCGAGATTGTACACAACCGTCAATAATAGCACATTCTCAAAAAAACATCTTTCGGTCGACAAACAATTATTTCGTCTTCAAGTTTTTGATTTTATAAGGAAAACATATGCCTGACGATGAATAAAGGATTATTCGAAAGTACTTTGTTTAATCCACGTCACCTGACATCGATTTTCATTTCGGGTCACGAACGGCCAGAAACCAAACACGGAATTTTAAAGAAATGGCCTTTCCGATAATCTGGAGGTGTTATCTTAGCCAATGTCAATTCCCAACCAAAATGGAAAAGGTCTCAAAGGTTTAAGCCTACAGAAAGCGTCTTTGATAATAATCAAAATGGCTGATTCACATTTTCTTGGAGTTTCTGTTATCTCTCTTGACGTACTTCTGGAATGTTCTCGAAATACGAGCTATCCTAACGTTCATCCCTCCCCCCGGCTCTTACATGTGGTTGTGGGTGTCGTTTTAGCGGAAGTGACTAGTTGTTCAATGTCACGTGATATTGCGGAAACGCCAGACGAGATCGTCTGAGTCATTATCGCAACAACCATTCAGTAAATAGCTCACCTGCTAATGGCTTTTCTTTCTATGTATCGTGTCCTTTCGGGACGTAGGGGATCATGGCTCTCGACCTCTTCCTATCCCTTGCAGCTCTCAACAAGTTAATTCCCTTTGCGACTGCCTTCTTTAGTTTGGACGAGTCAGAAAAATATTTTTCAATGTTAAATCTATTTTTGCTATTCTCAAAAAATTTAAATATTTTTCTAACATACGTCATCAATAATTTTTCTTTTATTTGCTAAATCTATTCAGGAAATGAGCGATCATGGTCCTCCATATCTTCCTGATTTTTACCCCTACTATCACTCTTTGCCCTTGTTCTGGCATCAATTCACACATATTCGTTAAGTATGTTATTCTAATTGATATGTCCCGTGTGTGTTGAATTCTCTATGCCTTCTTTTTTCCTTATGCGTACGCGAGATATGAAATTGCTCTTTCTACCTCGTCAGACTGGCGTTGCTTCTGTAATTTCTGTGCCAAATGGCAGGGTGTTGCTAACACTGCATTCAACAAGTTGTCCGTGTAATATTATGCTGAAACAGAAGGACAATTCATAAGATACAATTAATATAGTGTAAAGATGGGAAATTAGAATTAGTTATACATTCAACATTTGAAGAGTTAGAGAAACATAATAGCTAATTAAGTAAAACCTATATAATGGAATCTATACAAATAAATGCGAAATTGGAGCTCGATTCTCCCAAGAATTTCGAGATTAAAAAAAACCAGCTTTACTTTATAGAAATTTACACGCCAAGGGCTCAATGTCTGTGTTATATATTATCTATTTCTAGACAATATCACTCTTCAGGTTTAACTAATTTGCATATTGATTTAAAAATAAATTGTTTTCATTAATTAACTGTCCTTCATTACTGTCCTTTTATTTTAGGATTGTTTTGGTTTTCATATCAAAAATAGTTCTGTTTAGGAATATCGTCTTATATAGTACAGAAAAGTGTTTGAAATTTGCATTTTACTTGGCCTTCAACAAGTTGGCATCTATTTGTAAAACGTTCCTTAACTATAGCAAGCCAGTTTATGAATGAAATGTTCATTTAAAATTTTTGTTTCAAAGATTTCAAGTAGTGAATATATCTTACTTTGCGAAGCGATAGCGAGCGGACGAAACCTGTTAGTGTGATATATAAATGAAACATTTGAAAAGCAACAGAAGTGTCTAATATTCAAAGTAGGCGCTCAAATAGTGAATTTTGAAAAAAATAAACAACATTGTTGCATCTCAATTTTTTGGATTGCCCAAATTGGCGTTTGAAGTCAGATTTAGTAATTGACATCCGGCGATAAACTTGTTATAATACTTACAAGATGAGTAATCTGGAGAATAAACAAGATTAAGATAGAAAAACAAGAAGAAAAAAAAAAGAATTAGCAAGAATATTTCCTGTGTCATAAAAGATCCCTGTGAGTCAGTCGGTGATTGACGAGATCAGTTATAGAGACATCTGAGAACCCCGATTCACACCTAGAAAACCAAACCTTGTTTTAAAAAAAATAAAAAAAGAGAATTTATTTCTGAATTACTTTTTTTTTCTTTTTCTAAACACAGATCAAATCGTTTTAAAATGTGCCTATTTGTTTGCTCTTATTAAATGTAATGAATCCATGGCGATGAAGGGTCAAAGAAAACTAGCAAAAGCCTGTGATGGCAATGTTCTTCATCCGGGTGACAGGAAGCGGATTTCATTGCAGTTGATTATGGGCTGCGAAGTGAAAACATTTGGAGGAAATATTGACGGATGGAGGATCAATAAGGTGATGCAATATTTCGTGACAGGAAAATTGGTAACATTTTTTTTTTTTTTTTTTTGAAGGGAAGTGAAATTTGATAGGAGGTGCGGAGAATTGACTGTGATAAAGAAGGAATGCGTTGGTGGCAGGAAACATTTAAAAAATGAGTTAACAAAAAACAGTAAGAAATGAACACGATTTCTAGAATAAGAAAGAAAGAAAGAGAAAGACTAAGAAAGAGACTAAAAAGATAAGAAAAAGACAAAAAAGGAAGGAAAAACAGACATAAGAAAGAAAATTTCTTAGAAAGAAAAAAGGTTAAGAAAGAAAAAAAGTCGTAGAAAGAAAGCAACGAAGAAAGAAAGAAAGCAATAGAGCAAGCATTATTAGCTTTCTAAGAAAAGAAAGAGGAAAAGAAAGACAGAAAGAAAGACTAACGAAGAAAGATAGAAAGAAAGCAACTTAGAAAAGAGATGTAGCAGGATTAAGAAAGACATAGTTTAAGAAAAATGGAAACTAAGAAGGAAATAAAGAAACTGAGAAAGAAAGAAAGAAAGAAAGAAAGAAAGAAAGAAGCAATTAAGAAGGAAATAAAGCAACTAAGAAAGAATTAAGAAGAAAAGAGGTCAAAAAGGAAGGAGAGAAACGAGGAAAGACACTAAGAAGGAATAGAAAAAGGAAAACAAAAAGGGTATGAAAGAAAGAGACTAAGAAAGAATGAAAAAAGGGACTAACAAGAAAGAAACACACTAAGAAAGAAACTAGAAAGAGAGACTAAGAAGGAAAGAGACTAAACAGGAAAAGAAAGAAAGAAAGAAAGAAAGAAAGAAAGAAAGAAAGAAAGAGAAACTAAGAAAGTGAGACTAAAAAGAAAAGAGACGAAGAAGACAAGTGAGAAAAAGGAAAGAAATAGAGATTAAGGAAAAAGAGACTAAGAAGGAAATAGACTGGGAAGGAAAGAAAGAAAGACTAAGAAAGAACGAGAGAAAGAAAGAGGAACTAAGAAGGAAAGAGAGTAAGAAAGAGAGACAAAGATAGAAGGAGAGATTAAGAAAGAAAGAAAGAAAGAAAGAAAGAAAGAAAGAAAGAAAGAAAGAAAGAAAGAAAGAAAGAAATGACGGGCGGGAAAAGAAAGAAAGAAAGAAAGAAAGAAAGAAAGATGACTAAGAAAGAAAGGATCTTGGGTAATCAAGCATGAAGAGATTGTCTGTGTCGTTGCCTCGGTTGTAATGAAATCCAGAAAGGAAGAGCGATGAGTAATAGAAAATCCCAAAGTCTGTAACGATTAGAAAATGAAAGATCAGATCAAAGTGAGAAGCTCTCTAACAAGTAACACGTCAGCCGTCTTAATGGCATATCGTCTTTTCCATCTGATTGTTGGGAATTAAATTCCTTGAATTAGATTTATTCAATGCAACCAATTCTACACGAAGACGAAATAGGATTAGTTTTGTTTTTGTTTTTGTTTTTTATTTATTTGCTTTTTACTAAGGAGCAACCAAGATATTCGTTTCCTTTCCTTGAATTTCCGATTTATTAAACCTGATAATCTAATAAGCGATTTGTTACGAGGATTTCGATGCGAGTTCAAGTGACTTTGTCCGGTCGTCTTATATTCGCATTAATGCATTTATTTAGAGTTACAACAAGAGTTCATTTTTAATTTAACCATCGATAAATAAAGAGAGAGAGAAAAACTGTGAGAAACTTCCCTTCCAATTAATTTCTCGGGAGAGACAAACAGGCTTAAATAGATAGATAGATAGATAGATAGATAGATAGATAGAAAACACATACACACGCACACACGCACACACACACACACGCGCACACACACACACACACACACACACACACACACACACACATATATATATATATATATATATATATATATATATATATATATAGTCCATCGAATAAAGGTAAAACTTGTCTTTCTTCGTATTATCTGTTATAGTGGAACACACCTATTCTATAGTAAATAGACTCTCCTACGTATAAGAAGTAGGAAAAGTAAGAGTAACGAGAGGGTCGCTCAGTGAGTCGATCTGAATTCAGTCTGAAGTCAGACGACCGGCTGACCGGTTGAACTCTCTGCCTTCGGGCGGGGAGGAACCCGAACGAGGCTACGCCGAATGGCGGAGTCTCTTTCGGGGAGGTAAACCGACCCTGAACCCATTTATACGGGTTTAAAAAGGGCATATTTTTGGCCGAGCAGACGGGCTCGGAGATCCCACGTTAAGCCGGCCTTGTGCCACATGATGCCCTCGTTGGGGGAGGGGGGATTTTTCAGGAGATATTTATTGTCATCCACAGACAGACTGTTTCGCTGTATCACGGCTCATCAATGTGGCTAGATATAAATATATATATATATATATATATATATATATATATATGTGTGTGTGTGTGTGTGTGTGTGTGTGTGGTATTTAGTGATAGAGCTAACATATGCGGTTACATGGAGAGTTGTTTGTGAGGTTAAGTTTCACGCTTTAGCTATCTTCAGACAAACTGGTTTATTTTTTTCAAAAGTGGATCTCTTTATGCTCTATTTGTGTGTGGTAGAAGGGGGAAATTTTTCTCCCATGTTTGTTTGAGATGACACTCACATATACATAGACACACATACTTACAGGCGTATACATGTTACTTGGTACATACACACCGATATTCATAATCTTGGGTTAGGCGCAGTTATGCATTCATACGTTCAAGCACACGTATGTATGCAATTTTCATTCTGTCTATCTCGGTGTCAAAATTGTAGCGTTTCATAAAAGTACTAATGTTCTCTTAGCAGGGGACAGGTCGCGGTGGCTTTGAGATTTTTCAGGTCGGCTGTTTGCGCCGGCAGACAAGCTCACATGCACTTATACACGCACACATATGTAGAGGTACACCCACACTCATTGATTTGGATCTACTACCACCACGTTGGTTAAGTTGGCTTCTGTCTGTAGACATGGCAATGATGTTTGTATTTTTTAACAACAGTTGCAGCTGAGTTATTAACGATTGTAATTATGTTAATGCTAATATTAGCTGTGATATTATTATTGTGAAATATTGATAATTAGCAGTAGAGCCCGGCGTTGCCCGGGGATATAACAGTAAGAGATAGATCAAGTATCCACCATCATAAAGACAGAAAAATAAAATTGACAAAGATTATTGTTTAAGGTTGACGGACACGCATGTCTTAATTAGTTTTTTTTTTTTTTTTTTTTTTATTTTTTACGAATTGGTCAAACCCAAACTCAAACAGAAACATTGTTTTCAATCGTTATGAGTCTACCGATTGAATAGAATTTTATTATAAATAATTGTCTTGTAAATGGAATTTTTAAATCATTCTGAATGTTAAAAATAAAGAAAAAAGTGTGCAAGAGAATAAGAAACACTACCTACCAAAAAAAAAGTGAAGTTTTGTTGAAATTGGTTGAAAAATGTAGGTAGCCTTTCTGTAATCTTTTAGTTTTACAATTTATGATTTTTACTTATTGAATACAGTAAAAAAAATTGCATATTTTGCTCCTGGTAATTCATCATTAGAATTCTGATTTGAATATATTTTCCACTCGTTGTTTCTAATACAAAAAATATTAACTTTATTCGGGTTTATTAATTATGATCTAACAAATCTTATTCATTTAGTAGCCTTCTCTGTAATATATAATAATCTTTTACAATTTATGATTTTTACTTATTGAATACAGTAAAAAAATTGGACACCATGTGTATTTAAAGTAGTTTCCTGTTCCGGTTATTATTTTTAGTTTGGACTTGTGTATGTTTAGATGTTATTATCTTTCCCTAAAGATAAAGAATTTATCCGATGTTTGTATTCGTAGAGATCGTTAGATTATTGTTTAAGGTTGACGGACACGCATGTCTTAATTAGTTTTTTTTTATTATTTTTTACGAATTGGTCAAACCCAAACTCAAACAAAAACATTGTTTTCAATCGTTGTGAGTCTACTGATTGAATAGAATTTTATTATAAATAATTGTCTTGTAAATGGAATTTTTAAAGAATTCTGAATGTTAAAAATAAAGAAAAAAGTGTGCAAGAGAATAAGAAACACTACCTGCCAAAAAAAAAAAAGTGAAGTTTTGTTTTATCGGCTGAAAAATATAGGAAATCCGCTCCCATATTTAAAGTAACCCACACACACACAAACAATCCGAGGTAAGTTGCCCCCTTCCATTTTCACGATGTCTCTTAATCGTGTTTTCAAATTGATTTTGTGCAAAAACAATTATATTTTTCCCATTTTTGGCGCTGTTAGAACCACCACAAAGTAATTTTATGTAGCTCTGTGAAGTTTTGTTGAAATCGGTTGAAAAATGTAGGAAATCCGATCCAATATATAAACGTTACAGATACACACACACACACACACACACACACACACACACAATCTGCGTTTTATAATAAGTAAGATAATTGATATGTTATTAGTTATGATGAACGGTAAAGTTAACCCTAATAATGATGGAAATAATAATAATGATAATAATTGTGATAACAACATAAAAATAAATAGATAATGAATAAAAAATAAATAAAATAATAAAAATAATAATATCAATGATAATAATGATAACAGTTGTGGTAATCATAATAATGATGTTAATAATAACAACAAAAATAATAATGATAATGACAATGATAAAAAAATAGTTCTAATGGTGGTAGTGATGGTTATAAGGTAATGGTTCTAAAAGTGGCAACAACAATACTAATAGTGATAGTAATACCAGTAGTCACAGCATAATAATTTTGGAGTGTTAATGGTTATATCTGTCGTGATAGCTATGATAATTTTTATGGCCGTGATTGTGTTTGTGGGGGTGGTGGTAGTGTTCATAATAGTGTTGGTAGTATTATTGTTTCCCGTTAGTGATTATGTTTAGTGGTTTTAATGTTCTAGTGGCTAAACCACTCTAGCATTTTTTCGGTAGATTCATTCCCATTTGTGTGCAGTTTTTGTTGTTGTTGTTATCCATTTGCTTGGAATTGTCATAGTAGATATTTGTTTTCGTGTCTGCATTTTGAGATCAGTTCCGATCTTTGCTTTAGTAATGCTTTTTGTTGTATGTGAGTGATTATTGCAACTTTTTCTTCCTTCATATGTTGTTGTTGTTGTAGGCAGGTGCGTGTTTCATAATTTCCCAGGTTATATTTGGTGTGATGTTTTCGTCTTTTAGTTGCCATATATGTGTGAATAATGTGGTGCTGTTGGAGTATTTTATGTTGGAGATTGAGATTTCGTGTGTGTATTTTCTTTGTTTGAATGTTCCTGCTCTGGCGCCAATGTAATATATTGTAGTGTTGCTTTGTATACTATGTTTGTTTGTAGACAGTTTCCTTGCAGTGGGCATGTGGTTTTGTCTCTCTGCATTTGCCTTGCGGGTCTTTGTTTCGTTTGTTTTTTGGTGCGTTTTTTCTATTATTTGTGTTATGTCCTTTTAGATTTAGGAATGTTTTGAAGGTTTTGTTGTATGGTGGGTTAGACCAAATTATATTTTTTCTTTTTTTTTTCATTTTGGTTTTGTCGACCTGTATTCTAGCTGTTGTGTATACTCGCTTTTCTTTATTGCGTTGTTATATGGTGATTTTTATCGTTGAAAATGTGTATGTTGGATGAATTGTCTGATAGCCTGCAGCAGATGGATTTAAGTATGTGCTCGGTAATTGAGAGTGTGTCGGTGGTTGAAGGATGTGTGTATGTGTGTGGGAGTGTCATTATCCTTTTTGTATGGTTCGTAAGTTTATTTATCTAGGTTGGGCTTTGAATCGCCGTATCTTACAAATGATTAAAGATATTACTGGAATTCTTCTGCGATAAGAATGTATAATTACTCTCCAAGCTTAACAGAATGATTGTAATGAACTCGATCATAAACTAGACTGACATGTTCATCATTAATTAATCATAGCTAAGAATCGGAAGCTCATGAATAATTGAAATAAAGTTATATAATATTATTCCAAGATCATTTTTCCAACTTATTCAAGATGATCTTCGCAATCTAACCTTCTACCTGGAAGGCACCTCAAAGGTTTCACGTACAATTTCATTTTCAAGTCTTTTCTCACTGATCTTTGTACTGTCATAGCTAAAACTTCTCTTTTACATGCCAAAAGTCTTATGAATTGAGTTGGATCTTTTCTAATTGATCTCTTTAGCTCTAAGTTGAAATGATGATCCCACTTCAGGTTGTGACCTTCTGATCCAGTTTTCCTCTCTGCTTTTCCTACTTTTTAAAACTTATTCACTGTTCTCTTGATGGTTCCTAAGTACTGAAGGCTTGAATGATCTTTTTCCTCTCACCATTGCTCAGTTAGGAAGATAGCGGGGGATGACACAAAACAATTTTCCCGTTCTCTTTTTAGCTGAATAACTGCAAGGATTTTTCAGTGATTCTTACAAGTGGTGTCAAGATGAGTAAATGTCTTGTCTGAAAAAGAAACTCAATTAGTTTAGTGTTTATTTTTTTTTAGGCATTAAACATTTTGTGGGATGGACAATTTTGATGTTACACCCGGTATATATATATATATATATATATATATATATATATATATTTAAGTTATGAAGAACTTAGTAATCTGTATTGGTAATCCCAAGGAGGATGAAATCCTATATTTAAATTGATAGCAAACGTCAAATTAATTTCTTTTTTTAGACATCTAAATTTCTATCAAGCATTAAAATCTATTTTTTACATAAGTTGGTAAAACCCAATTACAGCCTCTTTCTCTTTACTTCCTTCTCTCTCGCC